AAGATGGGAGATAAGAACATGCTCAATGCTGTCAGCAGCACAAGGCAACATGAAGACACAAGATGGGAGATGAGAACATGCTCAATGCTGTCAGCAGCACAAGACAACGTGAAGACACAAGATGGGAGATGAGAACATGCTCAATGCTGTCAGCAGCACAAGACAATGTGAAACATGCTCAAAGCAAACAAACATGTTGGACAAAGATGAAACATGCTCAATACACAGGATGGGAGATGAGAACATGCTCAATTCTGTCAGCAGCACAAGACAATGTGAAGACACAAGATGGGAGATGAGAACATGCTCAATTCTGTCAGCAGCACAAGACAATGTGAAGACACAGGATGGGAGATGAGAACATGCTCAATTCTGTCAGCAGCACAAGACAATGTGAAGACACAAGATGGGAGATGAGAACATGCTCAATGCTGTCAGCAGCACAAGGCAATGTGAAGACACAGGATGGGAGAGGAGAACACTGCAAAGCCACCATAAATGTGTTGCAAAATTTATTAATATGCCATTGCCATTCACCTGGCATACATAAACATGCATTTATCATGATACTCTTGTGCAGATACACACACACACACATACACATGCATTTATCATGATACACATGTGCAGACACACAGACACCGACACATGCATTTATCATGATACACATGTGCAGACAAACAAACACATACACATGCATTTATCATGATACACATGTGCAGACACACACACACACACGCATTTATCATGATACACATGTGCAGACACACATACACACGCATTTATCATGATACGCATGTGCAGACACACATAAACATGCATTTATCATTATACACATGGGCAGACACACGCACATACACATGTATTTATCATGATACACATGTGCAGACACACACACATACACTTATCAGGATACACATGTGCAGACACACACACATACACTTATCAGGATATGCATGTGCAGACACACACATACAAATGCACTCACTATTATACACTTAACAATATAACCAGACAACTTACATATGTGTCGGCACAAGAGTACACTTGCACCTATAAATATAACACAACACACAACCACTTACACATGTAAATATTACCATAAACTTGCAACCATAAATATAACACAACACACAACCACTTACACATGTAAATATTACCATAAACTTGCAACCATAAATATAACAAAACCCACAACCACTTACACATGTAAATATTACCATAAACTTGCAACCATAAATATAGCCAGACCTACTTACACCCAATATTGCAATAATTCGCTCTCATTTAATGCCAGAAAGAGGGTGCTAAAATGTTACATAGAACCTGTTCTGCTGTATGGCAGTGAATCTTGGAATGTCAGTAAACAAATTAAGAAGAATTTGGAAGCAACAGAGATGTGGTTTCTGAGACGAATGTTACGAATACTTTGGACAGCCAGAGTAACTAACAATGATTGCTTGAAAGAAGCTAATGAAAGTAGATCTCTATTTACAACAATGAGAAAGATAAACACTGTTCCTTGGCTACATAATGAGAAGAGAGACATTAGAGAACATCGTGACAACTGAAAATATCAGTGAAAAAAGGGATAGAGGCAGACCAAGAGAGATGATGCTGGATGGGCTGAAATGATGGCATGGAGGGATACCATCAAGAGAGCTGTTCCAGGCAACCAGGGATAGTGATCTGTGGAGACGCATGAGCACCTATGCCAGTTGGCAGGGAACATGATGTTGATGATACTTACTCACACTTACAAGTGTAAATAAAAGGTACACTTGGACCCATAAATACTGCCACACACACACTTACATGTGTAAATATTACAGTACACTTCCCTATTTACAACTACTCACACACAGACACACTTACATATGTAAATATATCGGCACATACATGCCAAAGTTAGCACCATATAAAAGCTAGCAGTAGAGGAGACGTGGTTTCTAGGACAAATCTTATGAACATCTTGGACAACCAGAGTCAACAATGGTTGGTTGGAGGAGACTAGTGAGGGCAGAACATTACACATAACCATACAATTCTTCTTATTCTGCATTTGCCCTAAAAAAGGGCGGCTGGCACTTTGTGTTGTGGTTTACAGCTAGGCTGTGATATCTGCGCACTTCAGCCCAACAAATTTGATTTCATCAGACCCTTTTCTTGTATGTGTTTTAGGGCCCATTTAAGAAAGGGGGGGGGGGGGGGGGGAAGGACAGACCGACTGCCTCCCTAACTAGCATATTGTGACGGCTGACTAATTAGGGGTCTTTTCTTTGAAGTCGGAGTGCATCTGCCTAAGTGGCGAGGAACCAACAGTCTGCATACAAATAAGCTAGACCTGTTAAATGGATGTGCACTAAAATCTCAAATTTTGGAACAAGACTAAAGTCCAGAGGTAGGTGAACAACCAAAGCATTCTGCTGGAGTTTACAGCCTGGGAATGTGAAGAAGAAAGATTGTTTCGGTGGTGAATTAATTCAGACACCACTAGAAAGATTTGAGGAGAGAGAGAGAGAGATATGTCTGTTACATCCGCTGCTAAAATATATGATGATGCCACAAACATCATTAGTATATCTCACTCCCTGTGTGGGTTCTGGAGCCCCATTGTTAGGGAAACAAGACTGGACTAACTGCCCCCTTAACAAGCAAATCACAAAAGCCAAATAATCAGATGTCTTTCCTTTGAAGTCGGTGTGCATCAACAGTCTGCATATAAATAAGCCGAATCTCTATCAAACTGATGTGCATCACAATTGGACGAACAACCAGAATTTCTGCCAAAGTTGACAGCCGGTGAAACACAAAGAAGAAGTATATCTCATTAAAGATCACAGGAGGTGAAACCACTTTCCTGTCTCACCACATGATATCTCACCATACATTTAAATAAACTGAACATGAGGTAAAAGCATTCTACAACTACATCGCATCTGACTGAATATCTCATTAAAGTACACAAAAGGTATGAACCATTCTGTTATCACTAGAATATCATAAATTTAACATAAAAACCAGACATATGATAACTCCTATAACAATAGTTTATACCTCATCAGATACTGATTTAAACCAGACCCACAAGAGCTCCTCTATCTCAGGTGAAACCACCTTTCTGTCTCACCACCTTATATCTCAGGTGAAACCACTTTTCTGTCTCACCACCTTATATCTCAGGTGAAACCACTTTTCTGTCTCACCACATTATATCTCACCAGACATTTGAATATTGTCAGATTGTGAAATTATCTTATATAATTTTCGTTCGGGTTTATATATTTCCTTTTCATGCCTAAGTGAAAATGACACCTTTTCATGTCTAAGTGCAAATGACACCTTTTCATGTCTCAGTGCAAGTGACACCTTTCATACCTGAGTGTTAATGACCCTTTTACATGTCTGAGTGTAAATGACATATTTTCATCAAATATCCCGTTATGCCAGACAGGGGATAAAAACACTCCTCTCTCATTTCACACATCATATTAAAGAAGACATGAGGTTAATGTGCTAGCGGGAAGAAAAAGAAGGAGAAACACAGAAGTAGGCGAGATAAAGGAAAATTGTGATTAGGACAAAAGTAATAGTTATTGTTCCCCGCTAAACAGCAAACACATGAAAGTACAGAAAAGACAAGGGTTCTTCTGCGCAGAGACCCTAGAATGTTTCACCAGAACCCAGACAATGAATATCTGTATCGTGAGTTACATGACGACAACCTAACTACATGGGAACATACATCTAGACCAGGGCTATTCAACTGGAGGCCCGTGGGCCAAATGTGGCCCGTGGTAGTCTAGCAAATGGCCCGCTGATCACTTCAAGTTGTACTGAATCAATGATCTTTCTATGTTGTGACTCAGGTCTCTCGCCCGTGATGATTACCATTTTCAACGTTTTGGCCTTGAATAGCCCTGATCTAGATGAACCATGGACTACAGATCCTAAATTATATCAAGCAAAGGAATTATAAACAGCTGTTTATTTTACTTAACATACCATCAGCATGGTCCACAAATAACATTAACAACCACCACATGCTCGACCAGAATCTAAAGCAATCATCAGCTAACAAGGAAATATGATAATGACCCCATAAGCTCAGCGAGATTACCTCAACAATGGCGAAAACCAAAACATATTTAACATGTACATTAAGCTTCAATATGCCACCAGACCAACAAATCATTTATAGCGACCTGCCATCCTAGCGAGAATACACCCCTAAATATTACACAGTATAACTACTAGAGACTATTATTTCAGGACTAAATATGGAAACATACCACCACCGCGAAACCAGTTTGACAATCGGTCTTCCCCTGCAGTCGCCCGTACCCATGCTGGCTAGCTTAATGTGTAAAGCTGCAACAGCTAGGTAGGTCTCCACAGGGTCCGTCCAGAAGTCAAATTAAACGCTAAAAGACTAAACAAGGTCTTTTATTAACTGATGGTTGGCCAGGTTTCTTCGCTTTACCGCCTAAAGCTAATAGCTGTTCCTGTGGCCTCTTTGGCCTGTGACATTAAAATGACTTCTTAATCATATAATATCTCACTGTAAACAGACAAGATGTAAAACTATTCTTACTGTAGAAAAACAAGATATCAAGATATAAAACTACTCTCACTGTAAACACTCATGTAAAACCACTCTCACTGTATACAGACATGACATAAAACCACTCTCACTGTAAACAGACATGACCTAAAACCAGACAAGAAGTAAAACCATTTTCCCATCACTTCACATGATATCTCACTGCAAACAGACAAGAAGTAAAACCATTTCCCTATCATTCACATTATTTCTCACTGTAAACAGATATTTTAAAAAAAATCATATTTGATATTTCACTGTGGAAAAAAAAAGGTTACAAAATATATCTGCGGTTACTGACTACATCTCACTGTAAATGAACAGGAAGTAAAACTATGGTTGCTATATCAACAATGTATGAATTCCTATTGAAACCACATCTATTTTTTCTGGATGGCTATTGGAGTTTCTTGTCCTCTTTGGCCATGAGCACATCTGAGCGTATGAATGTCAGCAGAAACTTGGTGAATGCTCCGGGTCGGTCTATATCAATGGCATGGCCACAGTTCTCGATGAGGTCCACTCTCTGGCAGTTGGGCAATTTTGATCTCAGCACCTCGGCACCACTGACATGGATCACCTGTTGCAAAAGACAGCAGGTCCCATTAAAAGACCAGAGTACTGTGTGACTAAATGATACAGATATACTGGTTGGCTGAAAGACACCAATATACTCTGTGACTGAATGACACAGATATACTGTGTGACTGAATGACACAGATATACTGTGTGACTGAAAGATACAGATATACTGTGTGGCTGAAAGATACAAATATACTGTGTGGCTGAAAGATACTGATATACTAAGTGGCTGAAAGATACTGATATACTGGTGGTTGAATGATACTGATATACTGTCTGGCTGAAAGAAACTGTTTGACTAAAGGAAACCGATATACTGTCTGGTTGAATGGTACCAGATATACTGTGTGGTTGAATGATACTGATATACTGTGTGGTTGAATGATACTGATATACTGTGTGGTTGAATGATACCGATATACTGTGTGGCTGATTCCGATATTCTGTGTGGTTGAATGATACCAGATATACTGTGTGGTTGAATGATACTGACATACTGTGTGGTTGAATGATACTTATATACTGTGTGGTTGAATGATACTGATATACTGTGTGGCTGATTCTGATATTCTGTGTGGTTGAATGATACCAGATATACTGTGTGGTTAAATGATACTGATATACTGTATGGTTGAATGATACTTAAATACTGTGTGGTTGAATGATACTGATATTCTGTGTGGTTGAATGATACCAGATATACTGTGTGGTTAAATGATACTGATATACTGTGTGGTTGAATGATTCTGATATACTGTGTGGTTGAATGATACTGATATACTGTGTGGTTGAATTATACAAATATACTGTGTGGTTAAATGATACTTATATACTGTGTGGCTGAATGATATTGATATACTATATGACTGAATGACATCGATATACTGTATGGCTAAATAATACTATAATACTGTATGGTTGAATGATACTAATATACTGTGTGATTGAATGATAGTGATAAACTGTGTAGCTGAATGACACCAATACACTGTGTGATTGAATGATAGTGATAAACTGTGTAGCTGAATGACACCAATACACTGTGTGATTTAATGACACTGGTATATCTTTTGTCTAAGTCAGAATGAAATCAGAAAACAGTATGAGTGTAAATAACACATTTTTGTGCCTGGGTGTAAATGATATCTTTCCATGCCTGAGTGTAAATGAGGCCTTGTCATGCCGGTGTGTAAATAACATCTTTACATGTCTGAGTGTAAATAACATTTTTACATGTCTGAGTGTAAATGACATCTTTACATGTCTGAGTGTAAATGACATCTTTACATGTCTGAGTGTAAATAACATGTTTTCACACCCAAGTGTAAATGACACCTTTTCATGCCTGAGTGTAACTGACACCTTTTAATGCTGAGTGTAAATAGTCCCTTTTCATGCCTGGGTGTAAATAGTCCCTTTTCATGCCTGGGTGTAAATAGTCCCTTTTCATGCCTGGGTGTAAATTATACATTTTCATGCCTGCGTGTAAATGACACCTTTTCACACCACTGATAAATCAGGCACAAGATAAGCTAATATTTGTAATGACCAAACCCTCCATTCTCGGCATTTGATGACTGATGTGGTCAACATTGTGCTGGCTGCCTTTACTTTGGGGATACCTAAGAGACCTTGAAAAGACATCCCAGTTTATGACCCACAGTGGATTATGCGCATGACCAGAGATCGCTGAAGAAGAAGAAGACTTCCCACGACATATTCTGGTACCCAAATCAGGCTAGGTTGACTTGGGAGCCAAAATTAATTTGTTCTTCCTAGAACTGCACAGTCTGGATTCAAACCCAACACCTTTTTGCCTGGCAGATGAGCATCTAGCTACTGTGGCTTCTAAGGGTGGACCTCGCAGCCCACATCAAGTTTTTGCAAACATAAATTTTGTGTCAACAGCTTCTTCTTCTTCTGCTTTCTTCCTCTTTTTATTCAGCGGCCATAACTGAAAAAAAAGTCCTCACTGTTTATCCATATCTGGATACTGGCCTTGTTCCAGAACCTGAGAGATCTGGCTTATTTGTGTGCAGACTGTTTTGTTCCCTGCCTCTCAGGCAGATATCTTACAACATCAAAGGAAATGTGGATTCTAGCTAGGCTGGCCAGGCTCCAGGTAGGGAATCTGTTTCAAGGAGAACCTTGGAGAGGTCTCGATAGGTTTTGACCTGTATAAGCCCTGGTCTTGGTTAGCACCACTTGTGGTTGAGAACCTCTTTATACCCAATGTTTTAGAACCAATGTCTGTCTTGATGTGGATTTGAAGAGAGCACCTCTGAAGGGTACTAAGAACAGCTATCACACACATCCTCCCCGTGTGGGTTCTGGGGCTTATTTTTTTTTTGGGGGGGGGGGGGGGGGACAAAAAAGAGACCCATTGACTTCCCAGCAAGCATGTCCTAGGAGTCGACTAACTGGAGACTTCCTTCAAAGTTGGAATGCATCTGCCTGAGTGGCAAGGAACAACGACCTGCACACAAATAAGCCAGTAAAATGGATGTACACGCAAAACTCAGGCCCTTTCACAAAGCCAAACTCCAAATGGATAAATAACTAGGACTTTTTACTGGAGCTTACAGCTGGTGAGCAAAAGAAGAAGAAGAAGAAGAAGAAGAAGACGACGACGACACACATCCATCCTATCTCACTGACCTAAAGCTACTAAATCAAACTGCCACGGGCTGTCTCACCAGCAGTCCACCTGGCAATATCCATGTTGTCAGCAGTTACCCATAAACTTCAAGCAACACCTGTTCCACAAACTTTAAGTCGCCTGGGTATTTTGCATTAGCCTCTGTCAGCATACTCATGAATATTCATTTGCCCTCATGCACCCTCTTAACTCTGGCATACTCACATACTCAAACGAGTTAGCACTCAACAACCACCAGCCTGGCAGGTTGAGTTCAGCTGAGTTTTTAGAACTGACATCACAGCACTGGGACATTCACATAAGTGCTCCGTCTCCATCTTCGGCAGTCAACAAAATGTTCCAACTCTGATGGTGCCAGTGACCTTCTCACTTCATTTACCCGTCTTCTCTTCTTCACCCTCTCTCTGTTGCTAGCTGAAGACGATATCAAGCACAGAGCATGCTCTCCATAGCTCCAGCAATGATTCTTTGTATTTTTAAGAACATCATCCAGTTATGCACACTAGATGAGCTAGCACATCAGTGAAACAACAAGCCCCCACCTGGTCCTGAGTTCCCCACACCAGCTGTGTGGGCACTGTGATCTTGGGAGCCGTTCTCTCCAGCACGTCCAGGTTCTCTGTTGATGTGATGCCTTTAAACACTGCAAGAAGACCATTAACATCAATCAATGAAGGAGACCATAAGCACCAATCAAACAATAAGGGAGACTAGAGGTATAAATCCGATAATGAAAGGAGACCATACACATCAATCAATGGGAGAGAACACATATAAGTCAAATAATGGGGGAGAACACAGATATCAGTCAAAAGAGAGAATAAAACACATATATCGATCAAAAAATGGGGGAGAACAAAGATATCAGTCAAACAATGGGGGAGAACACAAATATCTATCAAAAAATGTGGGAGAACAAAGATATCAGTCAAACAATGGGGGAGAACACAAATATTTATCAAACAATGTGGCAGAATACATATATCAATGAAATAATGGGGGAGAACACAAATATCTATCAAACAATGTGGGAGAATACAGATATCAGTCAAACAATGGGGGAGAACACACATATCTATCAAACAATGTGGGAGAATACAGATATCAATGAAATAATGGGGGAGAACAATGATATCAGTCAAACAATAGGAAAAAACACAAATATCAATCAAACAATGGAGGAGAAAACAGATATCTGTCAAATAATTGGGGAGATCAAAGATATCAGTGAAACAATGGAAAGGGATTGGGGGGGGGGGGGAACAAAGATATCAATCAAACAATTTGGGAGAATACATATATCAATTGAATAGAATTGCAAGAATGCAAATAATAACCTTACATATGTCCCCATAGCTACACATACAGTGGCAGACCATGCAGTACTTACATCTTAAATAAAATTCAGTTTTGGGAAGCCGCAAGTTCAAAAATCCTTTCCACATCTGAGAATGAGATATAGACAGATGCTGTAAAATAACACACTGGCAAGGAAACCGCCAATTACTGCCTTTATTTTACCACTTTTGTGGGGGGGGGTCTTTGAGTCTGAGGACTTATGGCCCCATGGCTAGTGCTGTCGCCATGACTGTGCAGGTGAGGATTTTATTTTGCCACCGACAGAAAAAAATCCCCAGCCTTACCGAGGATTCGAACCCGGGTCTCCCGCTTGAGAGTCCAGTGTTCTAACCGTTTGGCCAGCCACTCTTATGGCAAGGAAAAAAACATAGAGAAATACAGAGAAGCAGCGGTGTACAATGTACAGTGAAAACAACAGAAAGAGGGACACAAACACATAAACAGAGAAAACAGTAGTAGAAAGACAGATAGAGAGAAAAAAAGACGAAAGACAAAGTGAGAGAAACAGAGAAAGAGGTGCAATAAAAGTAAAGATAGATAAAGAGATGGACAGATATACACAATAAGAGAAACTGACAGACAGACAGACAGACAGAAACAGAGATAGGCAGGCATACCTATTGTAAAATATACCCTTGATAGACAGACTTAATGACTTTGGTCATGGCAAGTTCTTGCTTCTGACAATAGTTAGCAACTATGGGGTGACCCATCTGATATAAAGTTGTAACTGTGATTCTCTGAATTACCATAGATAGAGACAGACAGACAAACAGGCAGAGAAACTGAAAATGACCTTATGTCCTCCCTCTAAACTGATAATTATGTCAACTGCAGATAAGCACATGACTGCAGTTCTGTAGCTATAGAGATCCGTGACTGCATTTCAGGCAGATGGTCTATTTTAAAAAGAAAGTGAAAACTACTGTTTGTGAGATTTTTCGCAATGGACCAGTCCATGCTGTGCTGCACCACATATATTTGAGACAGCAGCGGGTAATGTAGCCAATATTCACTTGGAGATGACACACAGTTTACAAATGTAAGATAGCTGGAGTGTTACCCCAGTTTCGTCAATCTGATGTAGGAGGCACAATAACAGTATGTGAGGAGCTTAAATTACAGTTCTACACAACACAATGAAACTCCTAATTGGCACAACACCTCAAGCTTACCAGGCCCCTGACTGTGATCCCTACAACTCCTCAAGCTTACCAGGCCCCTGACTGTGATCCCTACAACAACTCAACATACCTGGCCCCTGACTGTGATCCCTACAACACCTCATGCTTACCTGGCCCCTGACTGTGATCCCTACAACAACTCAACATACCTGGCCCCTGACAGTGATCCCTACAACACCTCATGCTTACCTGGCCCCTGACTGTGATCCCTACAACAACTCAACTTACCTGGCCCCTAACTGTGATCCCTACAACTCCTCAAGCTTACCAGGCCCCTGACTGTGATCCCTACAACTCCTCAAGCTTACCAGGCCCCTGACTGTGATCCCTACAACAACTCAACTTACCTGGCCCCTGACTGTGATCCCTACAACAACTCAACATACCTGGCCCCTGACTGTGATCCCTACAACACCTCATGCTTACCTGGCCCCTGACTGATCCTTATAACACTTCAAGCTTACCTGGCCCCTGACTGATTCCTATAACACCTCATACTTACCTGGCCCCTGACTGATCCCTATAACACCTCAAGCTTACCTGGCCACTAACTGTGATCCCTAAAACACCTCAAGCTTACCTGGCCCCTAACTGTGATCCCTAAAACACCTCAAGCTTACCTGGCCCCTGACTGTGATCGCTATAACATCTGAAGCTCACCTGGCCCCTAACTGATCCCTACAGCATCTAAAGCTTACCTGGTTTTAACTGTGATCCCCACAATACCTGACCCCCGACTGTAATCATCACAACACCTGGAGCTCACCTGGCTCCTGACTGTAATCATCACAACACCTGAAGCTCACCTGGCTCCTGACTGTAATCATCACAACACCTGGAGCTCACCTGGCTCCTGACTGTAATCATCACAACACCTGGAGCTCACCTGGCCAATGACTGTAATCACCACAACACCTGGAGCTCACCTGGTCACTGACTGTAATCATCACAACACCTGAAGCTCACCTGGCCCCTGACTGTAATCACCACAACACCTGGAGCTCACCTGGCCCCTGACTGTAATCACCACAACACCTGGAGCTCACCTGGCCCCTGACTGTAATCACCACAACACCTGGAGCTCACCTGGCCACTGACTGTAATCACCACAACACCTGGAGCTCACCTGTCCCCTGACTGTAATCATCACAACACCTGGAGCTCACCTGGCCCCTGACTTTAATCATCACAACACCTGGAGCTCACCTGGTCGCTGCTGCTGTTGATGAGATCCTTGCTGTAGCAACACACCTCAAGCATGGCCTTGACCCCAGGGACATCAGTGGGCAGCAGCTTGCAGTGGGATGTGGTAATGTTCTCTATCCCCATGGCGATGGCTTCTTTCACCTGAATGGCAAACTCGCTGTTGATGGGTGTTTGCACTGGGGGACAAGCAGGTGGACAATGCTGGCACAGAGATTCCATGAAGTAATTCAAGTCCAGGGACATATTACAATCACAATGGCTAATGTCCAGGGGTATACTACAATCATACTGACCAACAGTCTGTGCAGTAATTTATGCCCAGGGGTATACTACAATCATACTGACCAACAGTCTGTACAGTAATTTATGCCCAGGGGTATACTACAATCATACTGACCAACAGTCTGTGCAGTAATTTATGTCCAGGGGCAGTGTTTCCCAAACTTGTCTTAGTCGCGGCACATTTTTTCAATTAAAATTTTCCCCCGGCGCCCTAACCTAAGTAAAAGTATGACTATTCGTATGTTAGAATTTTAAAAGAAAAAAAAAACTTTGTGTGTGTTATCTTCAAATATTTTGCTGTGCCCCTGTGAAGAGGTCGCGGCTCCCCAGGGCGCCGCAGCGCACAGTTTGGGAATCACTGCCCAGGGGTATACTACTACAATCATACTGACCAACAGTCTGTGCAGTAAGTTATGTCCAGGGGTATAAAACTTTAAGAGATCAGTAAAGGTTTGGAAACCTGGAAAGTTAGACCACTACATCACAAAAGTGATGCAAACTGTTAAATGTTCTTCATTCCACAGTGATGGCACTCTACCTGGCTGGCACTACGAACAAAACTGTCAAGACTAGCTTCAGTATTCTTATTCAATTAGTCTATGACAGACATATATATCAGGATAAGGACTCAGTCAATCTATGACATACATATACATCAGGAGAGACACTCAGTCAGTCTATGACAGACATATATTTCAGGAGAGAGATTCAGTCAGTCTATGAGAGACAGATACATCAGGATAGCGACACAGTCAATCTATGACATCATATACATCAGGAGAGAGACTCATTCAGTCTATGACAGACATATACATCAGGAGACAGACTCAGTCAGTCTATGACAGACATATACATCAGGAGACAGACTCAGTTAATCTATGACAGACATTTACATCAGGAGACTTACTCAGTTAATCTATGACAGACATTTACATCAGGAGACTCACTCAGTTAATCTATGACAGACACACCAGGAGATAGACTCAGTCAATCTATGACAGACAGACACAGCAATAGAGAGAGACTCTGAAAGAAAAAAATTTGAGAGGCAACACTCACTGGCTGGACAAACCATTGTCAGCTTCTCCACCCTGTCTGGATAAGCTGCAGCAAACAAGCCCACAATTGCACCTCCAAGAGATGAGCCAATCAGATGGACCTTCCTGTCCTTCAGCCCAACCAGGTCTATAAACTGTTAGAAAAAGGCACACCTGTACATCTCTAGTAAACACTCACCCTCAGTTTTCTGCAGCAACAATTAGAAAGTCTGAATAAAAAATTTACTCTTAGTTGGGTAGCAACAACAGGAAAAGTCTGATTTAAAAACTCACTTTCAGTTCTAGGCAGCAACGATAAGAAAGTCTATGGTTAAAAAATCCCTCTCAGGTCTGTACAGCAACAATGAGAAACTCTTTGGTAAAAACTCACCCTCAGTTCTCTACAAGAATTTGGAGTGCATCTGCCTGAGACTCAAGGAACCAACAGTCTGCATATAAATAAGCCAGATCTGTGAACAGATGTGTGTCCAAAACCCAAGTTCTGGAACAAGACCAAAGTCCAGAAGGGGACAAACAGCCAGAACTTTCTGCTGGAGTTTACAGACAATGAACATAAGAAGAAGATGAATGAAGATTCCAATTAACCATCACAAACAACAGACAACAGGTACTCACCAGACGTAATGTCTCTACCACATACTCCAGGTCCAGCTGAACCTTCTCTGGTGGAACACTGGAAGCCCCATGACCCGGCAGATCCACAGCTATCAGATGCAGATCTTTGGGGAAGCCCTGCAAGATCAATCACAGAAACATTCACAGATCCCTAAGGGGACAAGATGTTTCATTAACCAACATAGAACAGAGGTCATCAGTCATCTGACACTTGTGGAGCTTTTGAGGAAGAGATCGGAACACCTATGGATCTGTCCAGAGTGCTGTGATGATAATCCTTTCTAATCGCTAATCACTATTCACAGATCAGATCAGGTAAAATCATCGTCTACAGATAGATGTGTCTGGAGTTACCTATGGACGTGTCTGGAGTTACCTATGGATGTGTCTGGAGTTACCTATGGATGTGACCAGAGTTACCTATGGATGTGACCAGAGTTAATGGATGTGTCTGGAGTTACCTATGGATGTGTCTGAGTTACCTATGGATGTTTCTGAAGTTACCTATGGATGTCCTCTGGAGTTACCTATGGATGTGTCTAGAGTTACCTATGGATGCGTCTTGAGTTACCTATGGATGTGTCTGAGTTACCTATGGATGTTTCTGAAGTTACCTATGGATGTTCCCTGGAGTTACTTATGGATGTGTCTGAAGTTACAGATTGACGTGTCTGGAGTTACCTATGGACGTGTCCGGAGTTCTGTGAAGATAATGCTACTCATAACACACTCCTACTTTAAAGGAAACATCCCCTAATCGGTCGATTTTTACAACATGCTTGTTGAGGGGTAGTTGGTCTTTTTTTCCTCCCACAATGGGACCAAGGAACCAACATGCTTGTGGGGAGGGGGGGCGGGTAGGCACAGTGGGACCAAGGAACCAACATGCTTGTTGTGGGGAGGGGGGGGTGGGTGGGGGGGGGGGGTAGGCACAGTGGGGCCCAGGAACCAACATGCTTGTTGGGGGGTGGGGTCACAGTGGGCCCCAGGAAATAAGGTGCTTGTAAAACCACAAACCTTGAAACAGGTAATCCACAAACCTTGAAAAAGGTAATCCACAAACCTTGAAACAGGTAATCCACTGATCCTTAGATGAGGAGAATCCATGAACAAACACTATGCTGGGCTGGTCTGGTCTGGGAGCTACATCATTTTCTCCATAGCAGAAGACAATGTTTTCATCTCCCACGTACTTGATCTTCATGCCAGCAAGATATTGACGAATGCTAGTAGACAGACAGACAACAGACAGACAAAATGAGCTCAAAGTCTTTCATTTGTCTTTCTTATGTCAGGTAATCAGGTCGTTGCAGTTCCAACTTTGTAGCAAACGAGACACCTCAAAATTTCACTTTTCCTGTGCCAAAGAAAACCACACGGATTGTCAGTCACTGTCCCATGTAAAATATCCAAGAGCATACACATGCATTCAATGCACAAGGCAGCAGTCAGAAGAGCCTTCACAGTCCGACTCTTGTTTGTCAATGTCTGCTTTGTGCCACTAGACATCGCAGTTTAACAAGACGATGATGGGTACCTGAGGAAGGGCAAGCTTAGTTGCTTGGTATGCTGTGATGTCTCAAGCTGTCAGTGACTCCCTCAGTCCATATTCTTCTTGGTTTCCCTCTGCCTTGCTGCATTTTCATTGTAATATCCCCCACTTTCACTGCTAGCATTCGAAACTGGCACAAGATGATTACCATATTATGGACAGACCAGAGCAAGTCATTATCCTTCGCCTTAGAACAGGGCACAATCGACTTCGCTCCCACATGTACAACAAATTTAAGATTGGCCAATCAGCCATGTGTACTTGTGGACTGGCACCCGAAACAACAGATCACATCCTTCAAGACTGTCCCAGATTCAACGCTTTCAGGCAAAACCTTTGGCCAAAAGAGACACTTGTGGAGGTCAAACTTTACGGGCCGCTTAGTGAATTACAAAAGACAGTGAAATTCATACTAGAGACCGCTTTGCAGATATAGACAATTTATTTCATGCAAACGAAAGAAGAAGAAGAACTGCTGGCATTGCTGAACTCATTGGCCAAACCATTTCAGATGTTTTTTCTCAGTGAATTTAACTATGGGTATTGTCCCAATGTTGACTATTGTTGTTTAGGCATTGTGGCTGTGCTTTGCAATTCCACTGTGCCGGGTTCGACCCCAAGCTGCAGGTGATTTAGCAGCAGACCGCCTTTCATTGGCTTCAACAGTGGTTTTGACAGCCAACTGTTCAGAAATCAACGGCAACTACCGAACACAAAATTGTCCTAGTGCAGTGTTTCCTAAACTTGTCTTAGTCGCGGCGCCTTATTTCAATTAAATATTTTCCATGACAACCAAACCTAAGTAAAAGTATGACTATGTAAGCGATTAAAAAAAAAATTTACAAAAAAACTTGTGTATCTTCAAATATTTCGTGGCGCCCCTGTGAAGAGGTCGCGGCTCCCTGAGGCTCCGCGGCACAGTTTGGGAAACACTGGTCTAGTGAAATCACAGTCAGGGTACAAAATGGCTGGGATTGGTTCTGCAAAAGACACACAACTAACATTATTCGGACACTTCTTCTCATCTCTTCACATTTTGCAGATTGTCCACTATTTAAAATTTCTGGTGCAATCATCTACAATCTCTGACAAACACACAACTATCATTATTCTGACACTCCTCATCTCTTCATATTTTGCAGATTGTCCTCTATTTAAATTTTCTGGTACAATCATCTATAATCTCTGACAAATAGGAACAATCATTCACAACCTGCAAATGATATTTTAGCTATTATTTAATTCATTATATTCCTGAAAGCGGTAAGGTCAACTAATAAATGGTCATGTCTGAATGAGTTGAAATAACAGCAGTATGAAGAAAAGAGTTAGTATTGTAGTTAGACTTTTGTGCCTTCTAAGATGTTTACGGCACAGAATAAAATGTTAAGTACAGACACAAGATGTTATCAATAGATACAAGATGTTAAAAACAGATGCAAGATGCTAATGACAGACACAAAATGTTAGCAACAGATGCAAGATGCTAAAGACAGATGCAAGATGTTAATAACAGACACAAATGTTAGCAACAGATGCTAGATGTTAACAACAGACAAAAAAATGTTAGCAACATATGCTAGATGTTAATGGCAGACACAAAATGTTAGCAACAGGTACAAGATGTTAAAAACAGACACAAAATGTTAGCAACAGATGCTAGATATTAACAACAGACATAAATTTTAGCAACAGAGCAAGATGCTTTGACAGATGCAAGATAACGACAGATACAAAATGTTAGCAACAGATGCTAGATGTTTACAATAGACACAAACTGTTAGCAACAGACGCAAGATGCTAACAACAGACACAAAATGTTAGCAACAGACACAAGATGCTAATGACAGATGCAAGATGTTAACAACAGATATAAAATGTTAACAACAGATGCTAGATGTTTACAACATACACAAATTGTTAGCAACAGACGCAATATGCTAATGACAGATGCAAGATGTTAACAACAGACACAAAATGTTAGCAACAGACGCAAGATGCTAATGACAGATGCAAGATGTTCTCCATACTGTGATCTGACTCATCCACTTTACCGGAAGCTGAGCCTGATCAGACTGTGGGGGGAAAAGTTGAAGAGGATGAAGAAGATACAGGCTGGTGTTGAAACCACTCCCACAGCCACAACAGCCACAAGCATCCAGGTATCCATGGCAGCTCGCAGGGCAGGTCCGAACACCGGTCACAGCTGCAGTAACTGTAACATCACAATTGAAAGTGTAAAAGATCACAGTTGGCGTCTGCGGCTTAGGTGTTGTGAACGCACTTCACAATGTCAGGGGGAGGGGCCAGATTCAATCCCCGCTGCAGGCAATTTGGCAACAGACTGTCTTACCTTGGATTTAAAAGTGGTATCGAGAGCTGATCGTTCAGAAGCAATGGTAAACTACAGAACATAAATTTGCCTAGAAAGACCACAACAGCCAACAAATTCTGGGGTTGGTTTTGCAACGTCCTGCACATGCTATGGAACAAACTAGAAGGTAAGGGAATAAACTCCCCTGCTCTGGATTTGTATTCTATTTAGCAAAGTCTGTTTCTGATCAGCAGCTTCCTCCTCCTACTTCTTCTTCTTTTTTCCCTGGACAACTGTTGTATCAGTGTACTTTTTTTTTCTCTTTTTCTTGTTCACTGGCTGTAAACTCAGCTGGAAAGTTCTGGCTGTTCTTCCACTTCTGAATGTTGGTCTTGTTCAGAAACTTGAGTTCTGCGTGCATATCCGTTTTACAGATCTGGCTTATACGTAATTAGATTGTTGATTTCTTACCTCTCAGGCAGATGCACTCTGACTTAAGAAACACCCTAAATATTAAAAGTCAATTTAAAGTCCTTTTTACACCCCTTAGGCGTAAAGGGAATATAGGGCTAGACCTATATTTGTATAGACTGATCAGCAAGGATGGGGGATGTGGTCAGCATCACACCGGCCACCTTTACTTCCCAGGACTGCACCTGGTACCCACTCAAGGCTGGGTCGACCTAGGAGTCAAGGCCATTTTTGAAAAGTCCGGCTCCGCCACGACTTTCCGATCCGCACGTGAGTACTTGCCTGACCCAATCTCTTTTACTTTTACCACAGAATGAACTGTTCAGTGCCTGTGACGGCGACGGGCTGGGTTTTCCAGGTATGTATCTGTGTCCCGGTTTATCATAAATTAAAACTATCAAGGTTAGTAACGGTAAAACAAACACATAAATTTGTCTACGGAGAAGAGTTGCCCACAACCACAGATCGCAAGTTAAAGCCGGCAAAGTGAACGATGATACAGTAAGAAATAATCAAACAACTAGAACTTGTCGGGTATAGAGCTCTGGTCACTGACGACCGTTTGCTGGTCTGTTTCGTGGAGTGCTGTCCCTTGTTCGTCGTCTGATAGCTGAGAGATTAAATCAATCAATGAAACAGTCAATCAATCAATCGGCCAATCAAGAAATAAAAGCGCTGCACTCCAGACATTCCCAAACGTGCTCCGTCTTCTACTTCAGTAGCCAACGAAGAGCCGATAAGCTAAAAGTACTAGTTGCAACATGATTAAAGGTATCCAATATTCTCCCTGAATATCTTCTAGAACCTCAATTTACCCCCCCCCCCCCCCTTTTCCCATTCAATTAGTATTTCAATTGATGGATGGATGGATACACACACACACACACACACACACACACACACACACACACACACATATAATATATATATATATATATGGTCTATATATATATATATATATATATATATATATTAGTTGCGTATCCTTTACAGGACGTTGCAGAATCAACCCCAACGGCCAGGGGGCTGTTGTATGGTTTTTCTAGGCAATTTACGTCCAGTAGTTTGCCATTGCTTTTTGGACGGTCGGCTTTCTTGATACCACTGTCGAAACTAACGCAAGGCGCATGGCACGTAGCTTGGATCAAACCCGGCATTACGGCATGTTCGGTATGACTTCGCCCGACTAGTGAAAGCTGAAACTAGTGTAATCGTAATTTATACGGTCACTCTAGAACTAATCTATAATGGATGCCGATAAACCTCCTCTGACCTAATGGGTTTGCAGACGTTACACTCCTATTGGTCGACAGACGGGATACGTATTCATCTTCCACCCACCTTTCTGGCACTCTGAGTCATGCCTGTGTATTTTACGTCGATTAAACATGTGCGCATCTTTCGCTATGATAATGACAGCGGTGGTTAGTGCCAGACAGACAGACAGACAGAGAAGCCTACACATTTACATAGATACCCCTGATGGAATCATCAACTAACAGGAGAAGACAGAGAAGCAGCCAAGATCTACAGGTGAGGGGGCCCCGCCCACACCAAGGATGATGCTGATGACAGCTGAGGTTATAGAGAAAGATAGATA